AATAAGGAACATGAGAAAATATACAGTTCATTATAAAGTGTGTTTACTAAGATGTTTGTTATAGAGAGAGAAATTAATTAAAAGGGAAGTTCATTATAGAGATTTTACTTAGTGTTCGTTATAGAGAGAATGAACTGTAGCTTTATTTTTTTTTTTGTCTGCTAAAGGATATCATAGAAGAAAAGGACAATGTTGTATTAAATATTTAATATTAATTATCATCATTCTTTTACAAATAAAATAAAAATGATTTTTTCTATATATTACTGTATATAATAATAATTTTTAATGATTCGCAGTCAAAAAATTATCTACTGTATCATAGTAAATTTCGTGTTACCTACACTCTACCCTTAACTTGTATATAGCTTGATTATTTATGGCCTCAAAGGTTGTTGAAGCTAAATCAAAAGGATGGAATTATTTATATTATTTATTAAAAGCTTGATCGTTTTAGAATTATATTATTATAATTTATTTTAATGTGTCGTCACTGTAAAAAATTCATCCTTTCAGTTGTTATGAAAAATCACATGACTACACTCTACGCCACCACAGATCCTAATAGCAAGATCTAGATCATGTGGTTGATCTTTGAATGGTTGTTGATAATTCTGACATTAAAATCCCAAAGCTATAGGATTCTTGTGTATAAGGTTGCTTATTTAACACCTCTGGTGCAACATATGGCAGTACTCCAAATATATCATTTTTATTTGATGTTTCTTTATCAAATGAGCCTGATAACCCTAAATCTGCAATCAATACACTCCGAGTAAAAAATTGTAAATATAAAATATTACCACTGTGAAGATCACAATGTACAAGACCTTCTTGATGAAGTATGTTTAAACTTGAGATAATACCATAAAGCATTCTAACTCTATCATTCCATTTTGTATAATTTGATTTTATATAATTTTTAAAACTTCCATCACATGCATATCTCATTATCAGAACATATTCTTTTGTATTAGGGACTTGTGAAATGCCATAAATATTAACAATACTATTATACAGCCCCATAAATTTAATGTGATTTTGAAGCTTTTATGAAAATTAATAAAAAATTAATGTTGTTTAAAATCTTAAAATTTGTTTAATTAAATATTTGAAGTATTGTAAAGTTAATTTATAGTATAACACTTACCAACTGGTTATTATAAAGAAATAAAAAATAAAAATATTTAATTAGATGATGTTTTAATAAAATTATTTGCGTTGTAAAAGTTAATTTATAGTATGATACTTACTCCCTGGTTATTAAAAAATAAAATTATTTAATTAGATGATGTTTTAATTTTATTGTAAAAGCTAATTCATTTACCTTTATCAAATTCAGCTAAATATTATTTTATTATAAAGCAAAAAAAATATTAAATTAACCTATTACTGTATATTTTTAAAAAAGTGTAGGGAAAAACTGCCTTTGTTCATTTTTTGTAAAGAAAACTAGCGATTGACAATAGTAATAGCAGGAAACCACATCATCATGGTACAGTGCGTGTCACAGTAATACAACACTTTTTATTACAGTCAAATCTCGCCACGGTTCCAGCCAAAAAAATTCGTTATGTCACGTCTTACAATATTTTGATTTTTGGATGTTATAGGCCTTAATTTATATCATATTAACAGAATGAATAATTAATTCTACATCTTCGAAATCATCAAAGTCAAAATACAACACGTAATTATAATTTCAGCATTGTATACCCATTCTCTGGCTTTTCTAACACCGGGAAAGGGTTGAACTCCCAGTAATTTTTATTACTATATATAAAAGGAAAGTTTACTTTGATATAAAAGTAGTCAGATGATCAAAAGTATATCTTAAAGTATTGTACGCGGTTTTTTAATATATGCAAGTATTTAAAAATGATGTAAAAATGGTAATCGCGATCTTCGAAGAAGAAAATCAAGTTTTAGTATATTATAATAGACAGAATATCCATCGTTTATATTTGAAGTACTAATTATGTGACCATTCGAAGACCATTTTTTGACCATGAGTATGGGAGAATTTCTAGCAAGTGTTTTGTTGGAATCTGTATTCACGTACATAAATTGGAAATTCAGGAGCAGAAACATTAAAGTAATGTAGTCCCAATGCCATACGTGACGTTTTTTATAGAAAGGAACCAAATGACAAAAAACAACGTTTTAAAAATAGTATGATATTTAATTTATATTCTCTCAAAATTTTATTAAGCAAAATGGGCGTGATTTCTAAGCTCAAAACGTTCTTTGTGGTGAGTTGTACATAGTACTAGCATTGTTAGCCAAAAAAAATTTGGAAGTTGCATTTAGACTCTTTCTATAAAAATACCTTATATGTCTAATTCCAAAGAATGGGATCCTGACCAGAACTTAATCTTAATAGCATTCGACTGTAATTTGACTTGTATATCTTCATTGATGTTATTAAATCTCTAAAGAGTTCAGTTAGGTTTTAAAAAAACAAACCTGATACTACTTTAATAATTATATATATAAAATACATTTTTAAAAGTTTAAAGAAGAGAACAGCTTTTACTTGGTATGTGATATTGATTATTGTGCTGATTTTTTGCTTTGAAGTTTACATGAAATTAACATAGAAGCAACGAAGTTTATCAAACAAGTCAATTTAACCCTTTTATTTAATACACAAAGTATGTTTTTTGTTATTTGTTTGCAAAGTGTAAAAATGAATTATTAAAGCGATTATATTAAATTATAAATTTCGACTCTTTAAATTAGTAGACAATGTTTGATATTATTTTTTATTTTAAAGTTTACAGCGCGTAAAACATGTGAAATCAAGACAAAAACTGTTTATTGTGCATTGATACTGTATATTGCCCGATCTTTTTTCCTTATTCGTAAGGACTAATACATCAGCAGAAGAACAAATATTTCATCCTTTGGCAACTCACTTAAAACTCTTTTTACCACTACTGACTCGTTGATTTTGATTCAAATCCTTTACTGTATTCTCATCAGAATCTATTTAAGGATATTTCATAAAGTATGCGCGGCAGTAAAATTCATTCTGATAAGTTGAAGATGCATTTATTGTCTCATCGTTGGATTTTATAAGAAGACCTGGTACATAGCTACGTAAAGGTTCGTTTAGCCAAGTGCGCATTCATAAAAACCCTCGCTTCCACTAAAAAACATTTCAAGAAAATTATGGTTTTGTAGTTTCGAAGATGACGTATTGAATGGGAGACTGTGATAAGTTTTGAAACTAAAGGAATCTGATAAGTCGACTTTGTTGTAGGAATGCAGTTGTGAAGATCAAGGTTTGTTGTATTTTGATATTTTGCAAGTAAGTCATAGCTGTAGACGAATATGTACTTAGAATTCAGGTATTAAAAAATAAAAATTAACAAGTGTAATTGTTTTGACGATCAAAGAATAGAGAACGATAATAATAACTTCGCTTGTGAATCATTATTTACAACAATTTAAAAACGAAATCATTATAACTTTGTTGTGGGAATTATTTTTTGTGAAAGATTGACATTAGAAAAAAAAATCGAATTTGTGAATTTCCGATCAGAACGATTGCAAATAAAATAGATTATTATATTTGATAAAAAGAAGTTATTTTTCTTCTAATCCTTTATCATCCAGTGTTTCCGTACTGAACCTGATTTTCAATGACTTCTATAAAAGATTTGCCATTACTACTATTTATTTTACTTTCTTTGTATTTCTGATTCCCAATTGGAACAACATTATCTGGAATTTTTTCGTGATTCACCACTTATTATTATCATTATATTAATATTTGTCGTACCAAAATTTACATTTGTACAATAAGTCCGTCAGTCCAATTGCCACTTTTTTTATTACGCTAATTAGACCGAAAACTGCAAAGGTATAAAAATAATAATAATAAATAAATAATAAAAGAAATATAAACTTTATTAGTAAAGAGTTTGATATTTGTAACGATTATTTTATTCGTTAATGAATTTATATGGATATTATTACTCTAAGATTTACGCTTGCTTGAAGTAGTATATATATTACCAGCGAACATTATTTGACTTTCTGTGCGGTTATTCCTGTTATACAACATTAATAGGGAAGAATACAGGTAAATTTTCTAGTTCTAAATCCAGGATTTGGCCTTGAGTGATAAATAAGTATAACAATAAGATTCATTATTAATTAAAAATCAAGTTAATATCAATAGTATTTTGTTCAAGATCACAAATTTTATTATCAACCAGTGACAACACACATCCTTAGCTATGTTTCTTGGCGAATCACATTCTTATTATCCTCTACTAATTCATAATTTGTCAAGTAGAGAATTCTCGATAATGATTTTTAATTAAATAAAAGTTATTTTTTTAAAAGGAAATAACGAAACATTCAAAAATTTTATTTTGACGTGTATAAATCATCTACGAATAATAATGGTGGAAAATTTCCTTAAATAATTGAATTTTAGATTGAATAGAATGAATTTGAATTAGAGTTTAGAATTTAGAATTCGAATTAAAATTGGGATATTTTTATCGAGTACTTTAAGGGAATCGATCGATTTGTCGAGTTTATCTGTGTAGTGTTAGAATTTAAGATTTAGAATAAATCCCGCTGTCACAAGGCAGCGAACTAGGATCATTTTGGGTAATGATATGTGTTGCGCCAATGTAGTGTTACTTGATCATCTAGGGGTTAGCGTTTGCAATATCCGAATATTCATTCATGACATTCGACGATCACACCGTTTTAGAAAGATTACTACTTATTATTATGAATTATTATTACAAATTTGTTTTCGCCCAGGATAGTAACTGTGGTCACTAAACACGATTACTCCCAAGTACAGTTACTTTAGGGGTGTCATTACTACTATGTAGTAATGGTGTGTTTTAATTATTCGAATTAAATGTAACAATAGTAATAGTAATGGTAATAGCACTAGAAAAAAGTTAAAATCAACCGACAATTGGAATGTTTACGATTTTTTTTTGCAAATTATTTTTTATTTATCATCATCAACGTAATTTAGTCGATCTTCTTAGAGCGTAATAAGATAAAATTCTTATTCCAATACAAATCAAAATCAATATTATAACATCTTCAAACCATTTCAAGTCATGTAAATGAAGTCTATCTAATACAGAAACACCAGGTAAAATAGCATTTGAATTTGGATTTAAACATTCGCTGTAATCGCTTTTTTCACCAAAAGATGAACATTTAAAATATGATCGACTTGTGCCGAATTGAATCAACATTAATAAGGAGTATGAATAACGACTGAACGACTATTATCAGAAGTAAAGAAAGATCAATAATGATTTACTTGTAAATTAAATTGAAATTAAATTGAATTGAACTAAAAACTTACAAGATATTGTGACCATTCTAATCCGTAAGGTAAATTTTGTACATAGAAACCACTCAATAACATAGACGTCAAGACAAATATCGTGGAAACAGCTATAATAATAATGAAATAATCACAATTAATTTTAATTGCTAATTAATTTAATTAATTATAAAATACAGTTAAGAAAACTTACATATGCTTTTTCGAATATCTAATAGAGCTGCACCAAATAAATAACCAAAACTTTGAGCGGTTATACTCGTTAATAACATTGCGAACTATTTTTTTTTTAAAAATCATAATTAAAAAAAATTAATCAATAAAATTAATTAAAACAAATAAAATCAAAGATTTAAATTATCAATTTATTTACCAAATAAGCGAAAAAACTATCAGCATAAGGTAATAAATTAGTTGCCGAATAGGTCATAATAACGAATGCTGCTGGATGTAGTAATATTAACGGCAATTCGGCCAATTGTTTTGCTATGAAATACGAAGATAATCGATAGGACCTTGATTGTCTTTCTTTAGATAACATCTCAATATCTATTGGAAGTGATGATATTGCACCGATTAATGGATGAAATGACCAAAATATTGACCTATATATATATAAATAAATAAACAAAATAAAGCATAAGGTTACGTACGAAATTATTATTATTATAATGATGATTATAACAACGAATTAAATACTTACGTAAAAGAGATCTGTAAATTATCCATAATAGTAGGAATAAAAATTAATTAATCATTCAATAATGTAATGGTGATGATGATAATAATAATATCACGCGAACAAAAACTTACCAAACCATATCTATCACTAAGGTTTTGTTCTTCAAAAGGTATTCGTAACCAAACTAAAATAACAACAATTCCCAAAACAATTGTTTGTATAACATTAATTTTTGACAAAATTACACCTTTTTGTTGTTTAAAAGATCTTTCTGCTAATATCTTTATCTGTTGTGAAAATGTAGCCTCCCAGCGATATTCAACTGTTATTCGTTTATTTGATGGAATTGTAACTATTGTTGATGAGAAAATTTGATTTTCTTCAAATGAAGAAGGAGATGATGATAAAGTTGTCGATGATGATGAGCTTTCTTTTGGTGCTTTCATGAATTCGGGACCTTTTTCTTTTCCTTGTGGATCGTTACTTATTTTTTCGGCATAAGACTTTATTAATTTTTTTTTACTTTTATCGTCGTTTAATAATTCCACTTTAAAGAATGGGTTAATAAGTTTAAAAGTTTTCTTGGAAAAAAATTTCAGATTTAAACTTAAAAAAATAAAAATATTTACATATATAATCGGCAGGATTGAAATTAGACTGACATTTGAATCCTTCGTTCGCAAGATAATCTACTATTTTCTTTTGGTCGTCAAAATATACCATGCGACCATCGGCCATTAGTAGTAATTTATCCAAAAGCTCAAATACTTGTGAGGATGGTTGATGAATAACCATAATGATTGTTTTAGAATGTTTTAATGCAAAAGTTTTTAAAATGTTTGTGAGTTCTAAAGCCAACGAAGAATCTAAATAATAATAACCACATTTATTTTAGCATAATAAAAAAATATTTAAGGTAAAAAAAGTAAACAGTAAATGAAAAATAAATACATACCAAGTCCCGAGGTCGGTTCATCCAATAATATAATGCTAGGATCCGTTAACAATTCGCTTGCAATACTAACACGTTTTCTTTCACCGCCTGAAATACCTCCAGATCCACTATTTCCAATCAGTGTGTTTGAACATTTAGACAGATTCAATAGTTGAATCACATTTTCAACTTGCTTTAATTTGTCACGTTTTGACATTATACGTGGAAGACGCAATAAAGCCTTAAAATTGTAATAGTTGTATGATATTAATAATGATTTATTATCAAAATTATAAATTTATATATAAAAAAATCTAATACGTACGGTATATTTTAAAGTCTCTCGTACTGTCAATTGAGGAAAGAATATATCATGTTGTGTACAATAAGACACAAATCGTTTTGAATCTTTTGTAGGTTTATGACCATTCATAAGTATTGTCCCTTCAACATTTTTACTATTTACTCTATTTCCGAGAAGATTTAATAGAGTTGTTTTACCACATCCAGATGGTCCCATTATAGCGAGAATTTCACCTATTAAGCATTTTTTTATATTAATATTAATTATTTGTTATATTAATAAATATTGTTATATTATGTTAATAAATATTTATTATATTATTTATTATTTATTATTTAATATTATTTATTAAATATTAATAATAAATAATTACTGTTATTGGTTACTATTATTAATTATTAATTATTTCCTTACTCGCGTTTTTTTATTTACCTGGATTAACACGTCCGTGAATATTTTCAATAATTTTTCTACGTAAATCATGGCTTCCATTTTCTAAATCATTATTTGTGTTTTGTTTATTGCGAAAATAATTCCAAAATTTCCAATTTTCTATTTTTTTCTGCGGCGTAGAATTTTGGTTTATGTAATAATTTATACCACTCCATTCTAAATAAACAGGATTATTTTTTGCAACGGAATCTTGTGAATTGTATTCAATCAATTCATTTCTTTTCGCTGATTTTTCTCTTTCGTTTGTTCTATTATTATTAGTAACTGCTACTCTTTCATCAGTAATAATTTCATTATCTTCTGTTATTATATATGGCTATGAATTATAAATTTATTATTATTATTATTCGAAAAAAAGGTTGCACGAATAAAATTTTAACAAGCACAGATAATAAAATACCTCGATTGTTAATGCAATATTTTTGTTATTTTCGTTTTTATTTATTTGAGACATGTTTTATTAAAAAAATTTTTTAACAAATTATAAAGCAGAATTAATAAAAAATTTTTGATCTTGAATCTAAAAAAACCTCGAGTTTATATAACTTTTGTGAATATGGATCAATAATTAACCAAAGCCGTTCATTAGTTAATGAATTTTGATTACAATAATATACATTCATATAATTAGCGGGAAAAGTTTTACGCATTTGTTTGTTTTTTAAAAAAAAATTCACAATATGTATTATTATTATTAATTAAAGTTTCGGTTCTATAGTGTAACATTGATCAAGAATCCTGCGCATTATGAGTTTTTTGTAACTTTGATCAAGATTTTGCGTCATTTAATTGATTCTCGAAAAATAATCTCTTAAACTATGATTAAAGGAATCATTATTATGGCTTTTCTCTTTTATCTATTGATATACTTTAACGATTAATAATCAATATTTGCAAATGAACAATAATACAAGTAATAATAATAAAGTCCATCTTTCAAAGAAGAGAGAATAATCTAACGATTAGTTGTTTAAGTGTGTATTCATTTAATTTATAATCACGGCATCCTTTTTGATTTCCACGAAAAAATGTTTCTATTATAGGTTAATCCAGGCACGGATTATTTTTCAGCCAGTTATTATATTGATCGACCGTGATTGATGACTGCGTCATTGTTTTGATGCTAAATACAAACCTGTGTCATTTGAAGTCCTACGTTATTTACGCAGCTATGAAAATTTTTCATTCCAATAAAATAAAAATTATAATATTCAAGTTTTGATAAATCAAGACAAATCCAAGTTCAAAGACTAATCACAGGTTTATGTCTTTTTGCTTCTGGATTTGTATTTCTTTACTTTTGGTAAATTCTGGTTATTGACATATTCTTTATTATCATTTTCAACAAATGACCAAAAATCATATATTTGGAATTAGATAAAGTTGTTTTACTTGAAAGACATTTTATTTGGAAGTTGTAGATTTTGAGAATAATATAAGGTGTGAGAATATAATAAAGATTTCATTACCATCTCCATTCTGTTATTCTGTTATTCTGTTATTCTAATTATTCTTAAAAAAGAAATATTGTAACATGAGAATTACTAATGGTAAAGTCACGTGTACTTATGGAAAAGGTGCATTTATGGAGTGTGCATTATGGAAGACTTCAAACTTCAAACCCATATGTACAGTACATTATTGAAGATGTACATTTTAAATCAAAAAAATTTAAAGATTATAATTTAATATTTTAATGAAAGAGCCTAAACCTTTAGAATTATTTCTGTATTTAGGAGTAAAAATCAATACAACGGATTGATTTTAATTTGCTGGGAATCTTAAATCAAGTTTCACCAAAAACTTGGATTGCAATCACATTCATTTGAAAATTTATTACATTATTAAATATCATGGATCAAATTAACCTATAGTTAATTTAAAGCTAGCATGTCACCCTTTGATCAAGCTATCTAATTAGATATGTTTAAGTAAACTCATCTAAATAATCAGGAAAGGTTCATTTTATCTAAATCTATATGATTAGATTGTTGTCAAGTTGATTATGATTTAAAAAATTAACAACCAGCAATGAAGAAGATAAACACGAGTGTTTACGCCTAGATTCAATTATATAAGAAAAGAAAACTATACTGTTAATAAAAAATAAACCAATAATGATTACATCAGGATATATATACAAACATATTATAACAACAATAAACATAGGATAAATACCAAATTATCAAAAAAATATTTGAGTTAATGCCTCTATTGTTGTTCGAATAGGATAATAATTTTCAACATTACCAATAGATAATTTGCCAACTTCATATAAATTCCAAATACCATTAACTTTTGTTTTTAGCAACAACACACATTATTACAGCTTGTGAAGATGCTGCATTTCATATTTTATATCCACATAACTGCTCCTTAGGTTTATCTGGATTGTATAATTTAAAACTTGGTTTTGGAAAGCTTCAATATTAGGCGAATCCCATGATGACAATATAAAATATAATCATGTTACATTTGATGGTAAACTGGATAAATCAACTGTTGTACGATGATGACCTTATTATCATGAAAAATACATGAAAAATTTTAATATTATTTATAAATAAAAAATTTGAGCTTTTTCCCTTTAAAGATTCATCACCTTTTTTATTAGCAAAATCCATCACATCACCAGAATGAGAAATACATTTTAGATCAACATGACCTGTTGAACCATAATTCAATGTTCTGTTAAATAATTTATCATTATACAACATACAAGTCCATCCAAGCAATCACAATTTCTTCAGGAAATCCCAAAAATAAATCAAACGTTAAATTATTAAGAGATTGGTCTTTAGAAATCGAGTAAAGTAATACCATTAATTGTATGTGGCTTCCTTCTACAATATTATATTCTGATAATAATTTACTCTCAATTTTATTTTGACGAAAAGTCTATTAATTAAGAAAATTAAAATACATATATTATTATATTATAAATATTATATTATGTGTGTTTATATTATTACCTCTAATTCAACTTCGTTATAAATCAATTTTTGTTTAGTTTTTGAATTTATTGCTTATTAAGAGCAAGAACATTTCTGACATTCTCTAACTTTAATTGAATCTTATGACCATCTAACATTACAACATAGAAATTTCCAGTAAAATTATTATTATTATTTATAATTTTCGATATTAGAATATTATCGATATCAATCTTGAAAGAAGCTTTGTTCCATGAAACTTTATAGTTTCGATTTCTTTTTGATTAAGATTTTTACATTCAGGACATTGTTTTGAATTGTGCTCACTATCCAAATGTTTTATTAACCATTTTATACAAAAAGTAGAAACATGTTGACACTTGTTACTGATAACATCATTTGGAAATTCACGAGGTAGTTTTTCAAGTTGACAACTTTTACTTAAAAAAGGGTTATTTTAAAAATAAATATTTATTCTGCCTTGTTTGTAAATTTTGTGAAATTTTAAAATGATATTGACATCACCTAACACATTTTCAAAGAAAGAAATTTTTTTCACGCTTAAATGTTAATTTCTGCATAAACTTACGAGTGACATAACCGGAACCATTTCTTAGATCATAACTATCACATATTGGTAGTAGCAAACACTATGGTAAAATATAATATGGCACCCTTGACACACCCTTGTAGCTCTCTTCGTTGCAAAGTGAAAGAGAGATACGTTTTGAACTTTGGATCCAAGATTTTTAAAGTTAAAAGAATTATTTCATAATTCAATCAAAGGATCTGTCTTGATTAGTTCTACAATTTTGGTAGTTAATCTACCCATTTTTAAAATTAATTTGTTAATTTATTTATAGGAAAAAAAGTATACGAGGATATAAAACAATATTTTGCTTCAGTGTCATTTTGCTGTCTGTTTTTTGTAACTTCCTTGTCTTTCTTTCACTTGAAATATATTGTACCAATAATTCCACACTTGTTCTGAAGTCATTTAATTGTTCAACTTCTGGTGGTACTCTTATATTGACCCAGATGATTTAAATTTGAATCTCTTCATGCGTTGAACCTTTGTAATTATTATCACCCTCATCTCCTGAATCTTCTGAATTATTATCATCATAACCTTTTTCTAGAACATAATAATCTTCCGAACCATTGTTGTTTTTTTCTCCCCTTTCATCATTAGTTTTCTCTTCATCTTCTAAAATAAATTTCTGTTGATTTTTAAACAAAATATACCAATTGAAATCACAATATCATTATTCGTAGTAGTGATAGCATTTGTTGTATTTAATTTTAATTTTCTCTCATTCTTTTCTTTTACCAAATTGTTATAGATTCCTTAGATATTAGAAATAAATTTAATCGAATTATTTTAGAACATAAAATAATAAATAAACATTTATATATTTTTACTCTTGTTATTAATAATTTGTTGAATCATGACTTCCAGCACGAAATCATTTTCAGTTAAAGGAAATTTTTCATCATTGCGATAGTGCTGTTTAAACTACAAAATCAATGTTTTTGTGAATAAACCAAATTTTGTTCATAATAAGTTGTAAATAATTTAAAACTACCTACCCTTTTAATGCAAGACAATATTATTTAGTTGTTCGAAAATCTATGCCTTCTCTTTTCAAATATTTAGACATTTGATTCTGTAAAAGAATGTCAATAATGTAAGTAGGTTTCATTTAAATTAATACTATAAAGTATTATTAAACATGTCCTATAAGTTCTTAAATCCGGACTTTCTTCATCACCTTCGGGAGACTCTCCAAGTTTTTCAATGAATTTTAAAAATAATACGTTCCGACCTCTCCAATTTATCAAATATTTTTTTTTCTTAAATCCTTTAAAAGACTAGTAGTCACTATGGTAATAAACAATTAGTATGTATATAGTGGTAAAATTTTGAGTGTAAACGAACGTAAAATAAATTTGTTTTTTTTAAAAAAAAAAAGTTAATTTTTATTATTAAATTTTTTTAAAATTTTGTCGCATTTAAAATTAACTATAAAGTTAATATGATAATAAATACCGTATATTGTGATTACACTAACTATACTAGTTTTGGATAATTGTAGTGTATATACTTGCGTGTGGACATGGTTATCACAATCATTGTCTACAAAGGTGCCAATCTAAATGTTTGATATGTTTGGACTATCTTCAAGTAGAAATCAAAAAAAATGTCAATGTACTAAAAGAAAGTATGTCGAAAAGATTAACGAAAATGAATTTATCAAAAATAATGAAAATGCAGTTGATGATGATTCGGGTAATGTTGATGATGCAGCAAACGATGGAAATTTTATTAGAAAATGCAAAAAAAAAAATTTTTGAGTTGTAAATTTTGTTTTTATTATACATCGTTCATGTTTTGTCTTAATCGTATATCTTAAATTGGTCGCGTTTACATTTCGTCAACATTCGTTATATTAAGGTTATTGTGCGTATGATTGTAAATAAATAAGTGGGACAACATTGCCTCATTAAACCCATTGATGTCTTCATTTGCAAGAAAATACTAAAAGCCACAATCCATTAAAACCCTAGTATATTATTATGCGAAAAATTTAATGGTTAAACAAACATTATGGTTATTTTATTTTTATTATAAGTTACATTTATGTTATTTATAAATACTATTATGTAATAGTGTGGTTTGACATGATAATATGGCAACTTCTCTCTACCATTGCTAGTTATGTAAACCAGACCTTGATTAATTCAATCAATTTGAATCTTCGGCATCTCCCAAGTGATTCCAAACATTCTCAATGTTAGGACGTAGATCTCTTTCAAATGCCCAACATTCTAAAAAAATTCAAAATTATTAAATGGATAGTTATATATTTATATGTATTTAAAAAATCATTATTACCTTTATATAAATCTTTATAAAATTTAGGAGTGTTTTGAACTGGACTTTCACGAAGATTTTCATAAACAATTAAATAACATAACCTACATGGCTCATTAGAATATTCTTCAAATGGTGGTTTTTGTGATGAAATCTCCCAAAATAACACTCCTAAACTATATATATCAGACATAATTTCATCTCTAAAGAACTTTTTTGGGCTCATTAGATGCTGAGGATCTAAATAGGGTATTTGTTCAAAATATTGAGCCAAAGTTTTTTTAGATTCTTCTATTTTTTTGTACCGTCCAAAATTGTGGAGCCTTATTCTACCATTGATCATACCAATGTTGTCTGACCTCTATTATTTATTATTACACAATATATATAAAATATATTATTATTAATCATCAGAAAAAAATAAATTATATATAAAAATGTTAGATAATTACCAAATTGCCATGATACATATCATATTGATGTAGACAATATAATCCACTTGTTAATTGTTTGGCAAGTTTGAATTTTTCATTCCATGATAAGTCACTGCTACTCAAATAATCTCTTAAATTATAATCAGCATATTCTGAAATCACAGTAACAATATTACTAGCATTAGGCTCTTGTGTTAAACCAACATAGCCCAAAACATTGTCATGAACTGAGGCTTTATGAAGCTTTTGTAACTGTATTAAATAAATTTTTATTTAAATAATAAAATAAAAATTTACAAAATAAGATTCAAAAAATATTTATTTATATTCAATAACCAACCTCTAAAAGTACATGCCTCAATGAGAACTGAGTATTAAATTTAGATTTTGACAAAGTTACGACTTTTTGTAATGGCCTTAAAACAGCCTTTTTTAATATTGAGTCAGCAGAATTTTCAACCAACTCTACACGCTCAAAATCACTGCAATCATAAAACAACATGAAACCATTTGCTTTAGCCTTATATATCCATTCCCTGGCTTCTTGATCGTCGGGCAAAAGTTTAAGGTCGTCCATATTAGCCATTTTTGTTATATATATTTTAAAAATGAAATTTATATATAAAGTGGAAAGTTTTTGATAAAAATGAATTATAATATTTTAGGAAAAAATTTTTTATTTTTTAAAATTTTACAGTATAACCTTAGTATAACCTTGGTACGAAATGGCTGGATATATAGGAAAATTTCATTCCAAAATTCGTTGAAATTACTAATCGCGCGTTTCACGAATTTTTATAGTGTGCGGCAAGATTTTTAAAAAGTATATTAATAAACTGCCAATGTAATCATTAATTATTATTGTTATTATTAACATTATTAATATTAGTGCTATCATTTCTTTTTTCCTTTTATATGGTTTTATATTTCTATTTTTTCCCAATCTTTTATTTATTTACAATCCTATCTTAAAATCAGTCAGATGATCAAAAGTATATTTTAGATAATCTTATTTTAGGTAAAGCATTCATTACAATATTTTCTCAAATTTGTAGTGTAATTTCATGTGTGTAGCATTACCAACATTACATGGTAAGCATATTAATCTTCAAGAATCAAAGAATTTAATGATGTATTTTTTGCTATCCAATTCAATTTACTTGTTTATAGAGATATGCAACTTTGAAATGAGATTTTGAGATTAAACTTTCAACAATTCTATGACTTGTATACTTTGTATCTAGAACTTTTATCATTCATGAATAGCTGGTCTCTTAATAAAATTTAAGATTCAAGTTTAATATCAACTTTATTGAAAAAATAATCATTTTTAAAAAATACAAATTATTTTTTATTATAATTTCCGACTACAAAAGTGTTTTTATAAGAGAAACAAAGAATATATTTTGGCAAACAATTACCATCACATGTATAATTAATTAGTATTAGTATATTATATCAATATCGTATTAGTAGTATTATAATTAGATCAACCAAACGTTATTATTATACTAATATTAATACAGATATTCGGATATCCTATTACTATCCATTCATCAAAACTCTATCCGAATCCAAGCTCTAACGGATATTCACATATTCATGAATATTAATGTTAACACTAATATCCATCGATCAACCGTGGGGTAAAATTGATATCCGGATAGTCGCGAATATTCACGGACATTCACGGATACTATCCGACAGATATAATCACTAGATGAATTTGATGAAAGTTTCGATGAAGAAGAATTAGAGCATTTGGAAATTAGTAGAAGAAAATGTCCTTTGAACTAGATAAATGTTTGTTGTTGTTGTTGGTATTCATAGTAGAAAAAACTATTTTTTGAACTAGGAAATATTTTGCCATCGTTGTCATTCGTCATTATTAGTAGAAGCTACTTTTGAATTTGATGAACGCTTTGTTGTTGGGGTTGGGGTTGTTGTACATCATTATTAGTAGAGGCTATTTTGATGTTCTCGTTTTCTTTCTTTTCGAATTTTTCAATATTCTCGTGGTAAAGATCGGCCACCGGAAAAGATCGGATTGACAATAGTGTAACAAAAAATCTTTTAATATTAAAAGATTTTTATTGAATTAATTATTCTTACCTAATATACTATATGTATGTATGTCTGATAATCGTGGGAAAAAAAACGAAAAAGAAGCCAGAGAGTGGTTAGATAGTGCAAAAGAAAATAAATTTATTACGTTTGTAGACTTCGACAAATTCAGAGATGTAGTGAAAATCGAGGATTCAGCCCACATTATAATAAAGAGGGCCTTTTCAAGGCCTTTAGGAAGAGAAGTAACCTTGACGACATTTAAGATAAGTCTTAGAGATTTAGTTAAAGAGGTTCGTTGTCGAAATTAAGAATTAATAAAACCATTTTTTAAATCTTAATCCATTTTATTTTTATCTTATTTATACAGTTACAAAAGTACCAAAAGGTTGCAGCACATAATAATATTTTGAGTTATATTGGTTTAGCGCAAGATCCCGATCAAAGTAACTTATACAATTATAGTTTGATTTTAGATTATGCTAAGGATAATTTAAGAGAACATTTAAGTGCCAATGAATTAACATGGGCTCAAAAATTAACACTTGCTGGAGAATTAACAAGTGGATTATATTGTATACATGATTCTGATATGTTTCATGGCAATTTGGTAATATCTTTAAAGATTTATATGCAATCTGTGATTTTTTTTTTTAATAATTAATAATATAATTTATATATTTATAATAATAATAGAGTTCAGAAAATATTGGTATTATCAAGGGTACAATAAAGCTCCACAATTTTGGAAAGTTCAAAAAAATAGAAGAATCCAAAAAAACTTTGGCTCAATATTTTGAATCAATACCCTACTTAGACCCTCAGCATCTAAAAAACCCAAAAGAATTCTCTATGGATCTAAGGGTAGCCGATATATACAGTTTAGGTGTATTACTTTGGGAGATTTCATCACAAAAACCACCATTTGAAAAATATTCTAATGAGCCATGTAAGCTATGTTATAAAATTGTTTATGAAAATCTTCGTGAAGATCCAGCTCCAAGAACTCCAGAATTTTATGAAGATTTATATAAAAGTAATTATTTTTAATTATATCCATTATTTATTTATTAATAATCAAATTAATGATAATAATTCTTAAAAATTTTTAGAATGTTGGCAAACTGAAAGAGATCTGCGTCCTAATGCTGAGGACGTTTTGGAATATCTGGTAGCTGAAGATTTAGCTAATTTCGATTAATTCAATCAATTTTATATATATAATATGTATTTTAAATTAGCCTTTATCAAAAAATATTTTTTGTATAGTTTTATATATATTATATATGGTATATAAGAAAAAATGTTAATACATGTCGTTATGATTATAGTGGTAACTGTGATGGTTATAACAAAAAATAAATAAATCTCCACAGTCAGAGAATCACCAAATATGGAAATCGATTCTGGACAGACAGGGATAGAAAAGGGAAGTTATAATAATTCTTATTGTATACAACATTAGGGTTGTATTTGAGTTGGAGCAAATTCCAAATCTCAGAAGAGTCACTATCAAACTCATTTCTTAATGTCAAACCATTATTGGGGTATGGACAATAGAAACGTGACCAACGTCCCTGAGGACGAATTTGAGTTAATGGCACCCCTATATTGAATTCAC